CACTGAGATTACTGTCTGCCTCTTCCAGAGGACTCAGAAATGCTCAAGACCAGTGTAGAGAGACCAGAAGTCACAGAGCCCCACTCTTGCGCTCATCACCCCTGAAGAAGACAATTCTTCAGCATGATCTGGAAATGTAGACATGCTAAGGGGAGCGATGCATGTCGGCAAGAAGAGGCTGATCTACGTGGGATGACTTTGGCTGCAAGCAACAGCCCAGATGACCACGGTTGGGGGATAAAAAGAAAATGTATGGTCTTATATCTTAAGAAGCCCCCTACGAGTGCAGGCTCCATGCTTGGTTCACTCACAGCCCGGCAGCATCGTCGAGGACTCCTGTTCTTTCCATTGTCCCACCCACCATCCTGACGCCCCCTTTAGGGGTGTCCCCCATGGTCACAGCAGAGTGGCTGCAGTTCCAGGTTACGCCCAGAAATAACACCAGCAGCGGCAGAAGACGACGCAGCTATGTGTCGTTGTCCCTTTTGCGAGAGAGGCTGCCTCTCCCACACGCATCCCCTCATGTCTCATTGCTTGAGATATGAACCTGGTCGAATATCCTTCCTGACAGGACCAAGATTGGCTTAGCCGAGTGACTGGCACACAGGACACTACAGCCACCTTCCATCATGGAAATTTTCTTTGAATGAAGATTTTTTCGTCTTTTAGCAGAGTTGGCCCAAAGCACTTGAATATTAAATATGACTAAATGTTAAAATCCTTATTATTTACTACATTTCTTTCTTTTTTTTTTTTTTTTTTTGAGATGGAGTTTCGCTCTTGTTACCCAGGCTGGAGTGCAATGGCGCGATCTCGGCTCACCGCAACCTCCGCCTCCTGGGTTCAGGCAATTCTCCTGCCTCAGCCACCCGAGTAGCTGGGATTACAGGCACGCACCACCGTGCCCAGCTAATTTTTTTGTATTGTTAGTAGAGACAGGGTTTCACCATGTTGACCAGGATGGTCTCGATCTCTTGACCTCGTGATCCACCCGCCTCAGCCTCCCAAAGTGCTGGGATTACAGGCGTGAGCCACCGCGCCCGGCCTATTTACTACATTTCTTAGAGAGTTCAAGAATTACACTGATTTTTTTGAAAATTGTGTGCATACAAATAAGGTTGAAAGAGAGACATCAGCGAATCCATCTACGTCTATCGTTATAAACTAAAAGGATACGTTATGCAGAGAAGTTTTGGTCTCTTATCTGGACTCCAAGACCGTAAACAGTTACGGTGAGGTCATGCTTTGAGGTGGCAGGTGTCACCATCGTATTCTTCCAGACGTAAGAGACTGTGGTGACAGACGACACCGACGCAGATGTCAACTCAGCTTCTCAGCCTCCCTTTACCCCTCCAGGTGCATTCTTTACCCCCTCTGTTTACTGCAGGTCCCAGGAAGCTGCGTTCGGTGGAAGTTTAGCCAGTGGATGTACCTGGCATGAGGCTGATAGATCAGAGGAAAGAGAGTTGGATATTTCCCTCCCGCCCTTCTGCCGGCCACATTCTCTCAGATCACCATCTCCTGCAGTTCACGGTCACTAGGCTCCAGAAATAGGCTCCCTCCCAGCCCCTTCAGCCTGGGGGATGGTCACTCCCTCCTACTCTGTGGGTACCTGCTTGTCCTTCTGGGATTCGTTAACTCCACTTGCGTTTCTGGACACAGTCCCTTCATGCAACTCACACCAATGAACTGAGAGCGGGGTCTGTTTCCCTGCAGGCCCCAGATGACACATACAGTATTCTCCCTTGGGAGGCGTGAGGCTGGGAGATTCCTCTTAGCTCCGTGTACTGCCTCATTTTCCTGCTGGGCTTCGGTATTTTCTGTTCAATGGAAGCATAGTAATGAACCTGGGCAGAGATTCGTGGAAAAGAAGAGAATGCTGCTTGGAAAACCAGTGCCCAGCAACGCAAGGCTTGGAGGGTGGCAGCCAGTGAAAATCACCTTTCAGCTGGAACCAGAATCCTCAGGATGCAATGACAGGCCTTGCTTTACTCGGCTGCGAGAATCTGGTTCCTCCCGAGTCCCCAGCATCACGCTGGTTTACAGGAACAATCAGAAGAAGTTCCACAGTTTCCCCTACAGTCCCACAAAGATTTCCCCCAGGTCCCTGCTTTGCCGCTGCTCTGAGTTTTATTATCATGCTTCAACACTGATAGGGATCGACGAGCAGTGCCCAAATCCCGTCCTTGGAAAACTGTTTTACACGAATATGTGGAATGATAACATGTCAACGCGTATCTTCACGTCAATGCTTGGAGAAAGCTCCACGCTTACCACCAACTCCCCCACAACACCCACATGCATATTTTGTCCCTCTATGCCTGGGTCATTCTGCATAGTATAAAGGAGACAGTTCTGGAAAGATATCTCAAAATGAAGGAGAAAAATTAGGACTTACATGGACTGGAAATAGCAGCCCTGCATGCTACAGCAGTGTGGATGGGGGAAAATGGGAGACTGAGGACACGGGGAAACCTGACCTGTAAACCCCACTCCCGCTCCTGTTTAAAAAATCAAGCGACACAGGCTGCAGGATGATCACATGAATGCTGTGTGATAACGTGTGTGCAGAGCCAGGCATGCAGCAGGTGCTCAATAATGGAAGCTGAATTATAAACGTCTGTCTGTAACTGAAGCATTATCAGAATTATTTTAGTTATAATGGCTAAAAATAGCTCAAACTTATTTAGGAGTCAATTATTTAAAACTCAAGGGATAGATGGATTTCAGGAGCTGCTTGATCCAGGCACACCCACAGTGTCTCAGGACTCAGTGCTCCTGTCCCCACATGAGATTCACCCCCAGATGCCACATGGTGGCCAGATGGGAGTCAACAGCTCCAAACCAGATGCCATTCAGGTCAGGTCTGGGGGAAGTGTGGGGGAGTGAAAAGTAGAAGGCTGTTTCTTTTACAATTGGGGAAAAAAACAACAGAATCAACTTAGCTTCATTCAATACCAGAGGTTCTAATTGATTCCATACTTATCCCTGAACCAATATCCTTATGGGCATGTGATACTCTGAGTGATCAGAACTGAGTCACGTGACCACTCCTGAACCAATAACCTTAAGGGAACATGAAGCTCTGATTGAGCAGGCTGGAGTCACATGACCACTCCTGAACCAATACCCTCAGGGGAATGACATCCTCTGATTGATCAGGCCTCAGTCATATGACCACTCCTGAACCAATATCTTCAGGGGAACGTGATCCTCTGATTGAGTAGGCCCCAGTCACATGACAGCTCCTGAACCAATACCCTCAGGGGAATGACATCCTCTGATTGGTCAGGCCGCAGTCACATGACCACTCCTGAACCAATACCTTCAGGGGAATGATATCCTCTGGATTGATCAGGCCTGAATCATGTGACCACTTCTGGAAGAGGAGCTGGGTACAGCTTCACCTGACGCACATGAGCTGAGTGAGAGAAGAAGGGGTGACCTTTGCCAAGGCAAATCGATCCCTCCTACCTAGAGAAGAGCAAACAGATGTCAGAAAACCAGACGACTGTTTTCCACTATAATCCACCATTCACCAAACAGTCCACTGTTACCCAACAGCACTTTCTGACAAGTGGAGGGTTTATCTTCATCTCCTTAACAATCCCCTTTGCCTAAGAACAGCAATCCCTTCCTTCTAGAAACCGGCCTTCCCCTCCCTGTCCTTGAATCTGACTTATGTGTAAACTATACTGTTTTTATTTTTGGGGTTTTTTTTTTTTTTTTTTTGAGACAGAGTTTCACTCTTGTTGCCCAGTATGGAGTGCAATGGTATGATCTCGGCTCACCACAACCTCTGCCTCCCAGGTTCAAGTGATTCTCCTGCCTCAGCCTCCTGAGTAGCTGGGATTATAGGCATGCACCACCATGCCTAATTTTGTATTTTTAGTAAAGACAGGGTTTCTGTGTGTTGGTTGGGCTGGTCTCAAACTCCCGACCTCAGGTGATCCACCCCCTTTAGTCTCCCAAAGTGCTGGGATTGCAGGCATGAGCCACCACACCCAGCCGCTATACTGCTCTTACTTGAAGGGAAAAGGCTTGACAGAGAACCATTTCCTAAGCCTCAGTTTCCTCATTTGTAACAGGAGATAAGAATAATCCTTGCCTCATGGAGCCATTGGGAGGATTAAATGAGATCACCTGTGTAGACCACTCAGCATGCGTCTGAAATATTGGAAGGGCTTCATCAAATTTAGATGTTTTTATTATGAGCAGACGGATGGCATTTGGAAAGAGTGGAACACAAAGATGATTCCAGGTGAGTTTTAAACTGATTTCAAGAAACAAGGCAATTCTCAGACTTAGCTCCCATGTTCCAGCTTCCAATATTTTGGTGCACCCCGATACTGCAATCCGTCTTAGACTCCTAAATAGCTGACATAAAATCATTCTCTTTCCCTTTAGTCAACTGGTCTCATGGCACCGTCAAGAACTTGTCTTTGTAGTGTTCCATGCTCTATGCAAAACCCTCCTGAGGAAGAATTGATGACTTGAAATGTTTTCAGGGACTGTCATGGATCTGGAAATGCACAGGTGACTCAGGGATGTGTCATCCGTCTGCCATGATAGTCTCAATGTCCATGTAAAGAATGTCTCAATCTGAACTGCAGGGCCCCTGGCAACCTGTTGCAAAGAGGGCTTGCTGCCCACAGTCTTGAGGCTCTACAGTCTTGTATGATGCACCTGCCTGCTCTGTTAGGAACACATTTATTTCCATTATCTGCACAGCGACAGGTCTCCCTATACCAAGGGACACTCACCTTAGAAGATGTGATGCTTTCCATTTCAAATGACAAAACCCAACCCAGCCTCACCTAATCCAAAAGCTAAGTTATTAATTCAGATAACTGTGGAGCCCAGATGATGTCTAGATTACAGTGGCTGGGTCCAGATTTCACATAATTATCACCAGGATGTGGTATCTTTCAGTCATGCGGTACTATGGATCGCTTTGGCTGTTCCAGGCTCAAACTCCACTCGGTGGTGGGATGCCTCACCCGCCTTTGTGCTCCCGTCCTCATCCTCAAAGCCTGGCCACCCCCGAGGGTCCTCAGATCTGCTGCTCTGGACAGCGGTGGCTCCGGTCGCAATTGCCTTGAGTTGTTAGTGTCCTCCGAGTGTCCATGACCTTCAGAGACAGCCAGACCTGTCAGAAACAGCAGGGAGCCTACAGCTAGATGCAGGGGGCAGGGGACCGATAGCGGAAGGCCACCAAAGAGACCTTTGTAACCTCAGTTAAAACAAAAGGAGGAACACAGTGGCCTCCTCAAAGCTCCTGGCACGAAGCAGTTAGAATGTTGGAAAGTCATGTGGGATGCAGAGCACGTGCTGGGTATTTCAGATTTCCGTGTCTTTTGCACAGAAAGAAAAGATGGAAGCTTTTAATACCAGAAACTTAGCTGTACCCATGGTGCTAAGGAATGCTCTTCTGCAATCTCACCCTCTAAGGCTCACCTCTAACAGCTCATCAAACACCATGATCAGGGCTGGCGCTGGGCCTTCCTGTCTCCTGTCTGCCGCGGGAGCGCACACAGTGGCAGCTCTCTGCTGCCTTGAGGCTGGGAGGGGGAGGCCTTCCCCACGCGCTCTCCCAGAACTATTCCTGGAAGTGCTTTCTCTCCACTCATCCCCCAAAGCCAGCCCCTCCCTCCAGTCTTCCTGTCCCTCCCTTCTTCAGGACGGCCACGGTGATAGACACGGCGGAACTGTGGCGCACGGTTTTATGCAGAGGGTGGTGGCCATTTTCAGTGGATGCCCCAGCAGCCTCTTCAGCAGCACGACAAAGTCTCTGCTCCTCCCTGCGCATTTCCCCCATGCGGCTTTGTGGGGCTACCCACCTCCAGCACCAGCACTGAGCCACAGCTGGCCTAAGAGAAGCAGTGGGTTCATCTGACTGGCCGCAGTTGACACAGGAGCAAACACTACACAATATAAACCTAACACAAGTTTTGCTGGATACGGGGGAAGGGCCTTTGTGAAGTGACCTGCTTCCTCTCTCTACTTGGACCTCTTCCTGGAAGTCTGGCGGCCCAGGGGCTGCTGGCAGCCACCTTGGGTTATGGAGTGGGGGTAGCACCTCCCCGAGAAGGGTCTCACCCCCAAGGGAAGCCCAGCCAGGGGATGGAGAGTGAAACCTGGACCCCTGAATTCCTAGATGCAGGCATGAATCCCATTTGTGGGGCTCACATTCACAGCCTCGCACCTCTCAAAGTTCCTACCTGCTGACACCATCACCTGGGAAGGCAGGATTTCAACACATGAGCTTAGAGAGACACAGACACTCAGGTCTGAGCAGTGCTCTGAGCGACAGGACTTGATCCTGCCAGGGCCTCTCAGGAGCATGCGGGATGCCTGCTGGTATGCCTGTGTGAAGGGCTGTGTACCACAGCATCTCCCTGCAGCTCCTGTCCCCGCTGGCTGTGAGTGGCCACCAGAGGTGCCTTGCCCTCACTCCAAAGAGGCACCCCACAAATGCACGTGGGTGCAGCAGGCTGAGTACCCTGCACAGGGCAAAGGCCTCAGCAGGTGCCCAGTGGGAGGCTTGCAGCTCCGAGCCAGGCTGTGCTCACACACAACCACCCCCCAAACCTATGGCTGCAGAGCAGACCCAGGACGGAATATGGCACCAGAAGGCAGACCTGAAGCAGGAGGCAGGAGGAATGAATGTGTCCGGGGAAGGCAGTGTTTCCTACTCAATAACCATCACCCCACACTTCTTCCTGCCTGTCAGAGCCTGAGGAGACCCAATGGCTGACTCAAAGTCTACTTGGTGAGTAGAACAAGTGCTTGATTCAGAGTATTTTCTGCTCCCACTTCCCCCAACGCTTTCTCTATTGGGATTCCTTCCTGGCCGTATGCACAGCCTTGGTCTCTCTATTGGGAGGATTCCTTCCTGGCAGTATGCACAGCCTTGGTCCTGTGTATTGATAAGGCCCATTTTCCCCTCACTCATTCAACAGCTATTTAAGCTGAGATATGGACCAGGAAGGGCTGGGCCCTGCCTCTCAGAACACACAGCCTGGAGGAGGAGACCCAGCAAGCAATTGTAGTAGAAGACCCTGGGAAACACAGGGGAACTCCCAGGGCCACCCCTCCAGCTGCCAGGGAGGGATGGGGGTAGGCAAGTCGGGCAGGAGGGAGTGAGGTTTAGGCTGAGAGCTTCTGGCGGGGGAGAGCATGGCCTTGGGAACCACCTACCTGGTGCCTCCAACGTGAACTCTGTTTCCCAAGATGGAGAAGTTAGGTGTCTTTGAGGACCGTGTTCTGGGAAGCCAGGCAGCCTTGTTTTCTCTGCCTTTGAAGAGCTGAGGAAGCGCGTTTTATTTCTGCTCCAGTGGTCTGACAATAAACAAGCAGTGAAACGGTCACTTTTTCTTAAAAACGTCCTAAAGGAACCAAGCTCCACCAGCACCAGCACCCAGAGCTGCACCTTGTCTCCTGCCTCAGGACAGGAGTCCAGAGCAACCCTTGTCCCTTTGCCCAGTTCCCGTCATGAGAGGGGCTGGGGCGGGCAGGCAGTGGCTGTAGCAGCAGGTGCAGCTACCCTCAGTCATGCCTGGAGGGGCCCAGCTGTCCGGAGACCAGCACCTCTGGGTCCCGATTCTGCCTGGAAGGTTGAGTCCTCCACATTCAAACCTGGGCAGTCCTCTGGGGCCATTCCCCTCCCCTAACCGCAACTCAGTCAGCTGGAGGGGGAGACACTAAGACATGGCAAAATGAGCCTTCTCTGGAACATTCCAGGTCCATGGCCACATAGCCAGACCAGGGGGTCACTCTCAGACAGCTGGAAACTGAAAACCAAGTAGCGACATGGGAGTGTTGTTTCTACAGATGCCTCAGACCTGAAAACACCCTCAGGTGTTTAAGAATCCCTGAAGATTTAAGGGACCCATGGTCTGCCCTGGGATCACCTTTCTGGTACCCACCACCCACCTCCAGGCTCGGTTCTAAAGAACACTAGTCAAAAGGCTCTTTGCATCCCTCTCTCCATTTCTCGAGTCTGCTAAGCCCCCTCTTTGGACCCCTGTCCTCAGCTTCGCAGCCTCTGGTGGACCAGGTGCTGTTGCCGTCAGGGTGGCCAGACCCCCGTTTGCCACCGCACACCTGTGGTCTCCCTGTGACCAATGGGAACACTCCCTTGGCCTCTCAGGAGTGGTGTCCTGCTCAGGATAAGTCCCATGTTGTCACCCTCACTACCGCCCCCATTTCATACAGGTGAACACACAGCCTAGTTTTCCTTTAGGAAGCCACATCCCGCAAGCCCAGGGTGTGATTTGGGTGCGGATGTCTGGGCTCCAGGAATGTGTGCATGAGACAGACTGGTCCAGTCACCCTTTCCACCTGCTCGGGCACAAGCATGGCACAGAAAAGCCCGGCACTTCCCTGAACCCAACAGATGCAAAGGGGGCCAGGAGGATCGCAGAGACATCTGCCCCAGAGGCAGCGTTGCCTCGTCACCAACCCCTGACCTTTGCAGCTGTGCATCATTTAATCCAGCTGTGCATTTTTCCCAAATCAGTTTCGTTGAATTTCTCCATTTGAAAAGGAAAGAGCGATGAATACTGCCATGGCAGATCCAGAGATGGACTCAGGGGTTGCATACCTCTCCCTGGAGGTGCTCACCACGGGCTCCCCCCGCATCACCACCAGGCATCACCTGTGCCGGGGGTGCCCACCCTGCAAAGCCTCGCCTTTCCGTCTTGTGTCTGCTCAGCCCCTGCCCTGCACCCACACGCCCCTGAAGCCGGGGCGGGCTGCTGCCTGTTGGATTTGTTTCCGAGGTGCCAGGGAGCTGGGGCGGGAGCAGCTCAGCCTCGCCCCCCTCTCTCCTGCGCACCAGGTTTTCTGTAAGTTGGCAGCAGCATCTGACTTCCAAAGGCAGCCCAATCAGAGCCCTTTCTTGAGGTAATAATGCTTCATTTTCTCCTTTTTCGTGGTGTGGGGATCATCTCCCACACCCTCCCTCATAGCTACACGCATCATCAAAATTTAACTTCCTGCATCTGTGCGGGATAAATAGGGCTCTGCAGAAATGGGCTGCAAACCAGTATTCATCTCCTCCTCCAGAAAAGCTGGGCTGCCAGCCAGTGGCTTTCTTCCTAAAGGAAAGGAGAGGAGAGGCCAACCTGTCTCACGGCTGATCCGCGCTGCTTCCGGGCCAAGGCCAAGTGAGGGGACGAGGGAGAGAGCAGGGGACACGGAGGCAGGCCAGCAAGAGCTGAGGCAGGAGGAACTGAGCGCCTCCTTCCCTTTCCTCAGCATTGTTAGAAAGCAGCAGCACATTTTATTTATTTATTCATTTAGAGATGAGACCGTGTCTCACTGTCTCCCAGGCTGCAGTGCAGTGGCGCGATCTCGGCTCACCACAACCCCCGCCTCCCAGGTTCAAGCAATTCTCCTGCCTCAGCCTCCCGCGTAGCTAGGATTACAGGCACGTGCCACCACGCCCAGCTAATTTTGTATTTTTAGTAGAGATGGGGGTTTACCGTGTTGGCCAGGCTGGTTTCAAACTCCTGGCCTCAGGTGATCCGCCCACCTCGGCCTCCCACAGTGCTGGGACTCCAGGCGTGAGCCAGTGGCACCTGGCTGTGGCAGAACGTTCCTATCCATGTCATACACTGACTCAAGGAGCTCCCGGTGCTGCACAAAGGCCCCCTCAGCAGCACCTCCTTAGGAATACGACACACCTGATTCTCTTGCTTATTAGACAGGGTGATTTATTCTACAGGACTTATATCCACAAAGTCTTGATCCCAAGTATGGGAGACACCCCCAAATGATTCCGAACTGGCACCTTGTCGTTACTGAAGAAACACTGGTAACATGTTCAAACTATCCAGAAGCATAAAAAAGAAAAAGATGAAAGCCCCCCCTCCCACCCTCCCCGCACACACACTCAGGTTAAGCACTGGACCTCTAAGGACCAGTCTGTTTGGAAAGCTGGCTCCCGTTACAGTAAGGGCAGCAACGAAGGCGGAATCCCCCTCGTATGAGTCCGTTCTCACGCTGCTATAAAGAACTACCTGAGACCAGGTCATTTCCAAAGGAAGGAGGTTTCAGTGACACAGTTCCGCATGGCTGGAGAGGCCTCAGGAAACTTACAATCACGGCGGAAGGGGAGGCAAACACGCCCTACGCGTTTGGAGCAGGAGGAAGAGAGAGGGAGGAGGTACCACACACACTTTTAAACAATCGGCTCTCCCATGAGACCTCATTCACTATTGAGAACAGCAGGGGAGAGACATCTGCCCCTTTAATTCAATCACCTGCCACCAGGCCCCTCCACCAACGCAGGGAGTTACAGTTCAACGGGAGATCTGGGTGGACACGCAGAGCCAACCCATATCACCCTTGCCGGAATTTTGTGGTAGAGGTGTAAGGAGAACCCATTAAAGAAAAGAAATTGCGTGGAGGCGTAGGCAGAAATGCTGACGTCTAACAAATCTGTCCTGCCCCATCCACCGTGAGCCCAGCGGGCAGTGCCTCTTCCCGGCCCCTGCTAGTGTTTCCCTATTTCTGGGAAATGTGCTGAGGTGTCTAGGAATCTCTGCCTCTCCTCCGCTTTCTCTGCTCTTGCCAGCTCTGCCATCCAGGGGCCCTTGTGTGAGCTGCTGACGTGACTGTGACGAGGCACCTTTGAAACGTAGGGGCCTGTTTGTTACAGCAGCTGGTCCCTCCGCGCTGCTCTCTCCAGGGCTGCTCTGTGTCCCCCAGTACACACAAAGGGCCCCTGCATGGGTGAGTTTTCCAGCAGTCTCTAACAGGACACACACAATTGGTTTCCAAAAATCCTAAACTTCTACAAACACCTGTCTCGTCCCCATGCATTTAAAGTGATATGTCCTGTTTCACAGTACTCTTCCAAGAGATGAGAGCAGTTTTGTAGGAAGTGAACCATGTGGCAGAGGGCTCAAAGCTCAGGGTCCTCCAGCCTCCGGACGCCTCCTGGGAACATGGCCTGACTCCTGTATCAGGCAGGGTTTTCCAGAGAAATGGAACCCATAGGAGGCAAATGTGTGTGTGTGAGTGTGTTTGTGTTTGGGGGAAGAAAGACATGATGATGATAGATACATATATACATACATACATAAATAAATACATAAACAGAGGTACAGGTAGGTAGGTAGATGATGGATGGAGAGACATATGATAGATGGATAGATAAAGAGAGAAAGAGATGATAGATGGATAGATGATAGATAAATGGATAGATAGGATAGGATAGATACATAGATCAACAGATAGAAGTATAGGCAGAAGGTGATTGATAGATAGTTGATGAATAGATGATAGAGGGAGAGAGGGAGATAAATGGCCAGGTGGAGAGAGATTTTAAGGAACTGGCTCCTGACTGTGGAGGCAGACACTAGCAAGGGAAACCAGCAGGCTAGAAACCCAGGCAGGATTTCTATGCTACAATCTCGAGGCAGAACTTCTTCTTCTTTAAAACACAGGGGCCTGTTTGTTACAGCAGCTGGTCCTTCCACACCCGCTCAAGGGGCTGACTCTGCGTCCCACAATAGACACAAAGGGCCCGTGCACAGGTGAATTTTCCAGCAGTCTCTAACAAACAGTGTATGCACAATTTATTTTTAAAAATCCCAAACTTCCACAAAAATCCCTTTCATTCCCGCGTGTTTAAAGTGGTCCATCCTCTGATTCTTCTCCTAAGAGGCTGGGGAGTCTCGCCCTTTAATTAAAGTCAACTCATGGCAAACATGATCACATCAACACAGCATCTTCACGTCTAAATAGTACTGGAGCAACAACTGGGCGCCACAGATTAGCAAAGTTAACGTGCAAAATTCACGACCCTAACGCACTCCACAGCATCGTCGGTTCCTGAAATTGGCTGTGCTGCAAAGTATGCAGAAATCAATAAGCATCAACACTCGACATTTTCTCCACTCTGCTTCAAGGGGGAGCCACGCCGGACGAGGACATGCTTTACAGCCTAGGAAGTCTTCCCTGGAAACACTGGGCTTTCTCTGCACGAGGTCAGGGCCTGGAGGGTCACTGGGGCGGAAGGTCACCTTGCAAGTGTGAGACCCCGACAGAGAGTCCTTGCTGTCCTTGGCTCTTCCGATCCTGAAAAAAACTGCTTGGGACTGGGGCTGGGAGTGTCAGAATTAGGGGAGAGGAAATTAAAGAGAGAAGGGAGAGGGTGGTATTTTGAAGTACAGGACAGGTCAAGGTCAAGCCAAAGCAGAGAAGCTCCGGAAAGAGGGCAAGGGGAATGGCAGGTGTGAGCAGGGTGCGGTGTAGGAGGCGGCCGCAGGTGGTGCGGGCAGGAGCCCAGCTGCGATGCAATGCTGCCTCCTTGTGTCATTCCACGGCATTGCGGCGGAAAGCCTTCGGTGTTCAAGACGTCTTCCATCCCCCCATCCGTTCAGAACTCCCCTGCGACTAGCTCTCCGGGTAGTAAAGACATGCATCACATTTAAAACGTCGAGACATCCTAGATTCATTTAGAAAGACGGGAAGAGGCTCATGCCTGAAATTGCAGCACTTTGGGAAGCTGAGGGGGGAAGACTGCTTGAGGCCAGGAGTTCAAGAAAAACGGGAAGATCCCACAAAACTGGGTCCTCCCATCCCACACGTGGAGATAGAGAGGCTGCCTGTTTAGAGGGGGCACCGCTTCCTGTTCGCCCCCGGACTCCTGTTCCCCAGGAGTACTGGAGGGTAAGCCCTGGGGTCTACCGGGCTAAGGGGAACACACAATTCAGATTAGTTTCACCTGTCGGAAATTAGGAATTCAGTCACAACCCAAGCCAAGGAGAAGGACGATGCCAGGTGGCAATGCTACGCCCTTCTCGTGCCACGAATTCAGCCACCCTTAGACTGAGCTGGTGTTGACACAGCTCCAGGCTCTTAGAATCAAAGTCATTTCCTCAGCACCGCAGTCCTGCGAGGTGTGCCCGTCATAGGGAGCCCTTTCCTCAGGTGTCAACAGTAGAGCTCAGACACAACCCCTCACATGGCCTAGACCATGCACCCCAACAACCTAAGCTGACTCCAGCCTGTCTGCTGGAGACGTGTCCGACAGGAATGCAATGCAAGCCACATGCGCGACGTTAAATTTTCCAGCAGACACATTTTAAAAAGTAAAGAGAGACAGACGAAAAGAACCTGAATCGTATGTTGCCCCTAGCCCGGTAGACCCCAGAGCTGGGGCAACACACAGTTCAGGGGAATTGCCTGCCTGGCTGGGGAGCAGGGAGGCCGAGGGCAGACGGGAACTGCTGCATCTAAGAAGGCAGCCGCTTCACCGTCGCAGCGAGGGCCCAGTTTTGTGGACTGTTCCTATTTTCCTTGCACTCCTAGCCTCAAGGAATCTTCCCATCTCAGCCTCCCAAAGTGCTGGGATTACAAGTCTGAGCCTCTTCCCACCTTTCTAAATGAATCCAGGACATCACAGTCTTAAGTGTTATGAACAAATTCCAGCTTCTCTCAAATCTAGGCAGACGGAACAAGCTGTGTGTGTGTTCCTGCCAATTTGGAGTCCCTGTAGTGTGGTCATGTCCCTGGAAAGGAAGACCGGCCACCCCTCGGGAGCCTTCAGGGGACACCCAAGTTTTAAACTGAGACATAACTTTGAGGGAGGTTGGCTCGTATGGTGCCTCCACGGCACTGGCAATACATCAGGCTCCATTCTAAAAGTTTTACTCATCTGTGCAAACACACAGATGCTGTTATCATCCCCACCTTACAGACAAAGACACTGAGGCTCAGAGAGGCCCAATCACTTGCTCAAGGCCACCCAGATACCTGGGATTTGAACCCAGGACCCGGCATTGATACACTTTAGCGCCTGTCTAGTGAAAGGCGCCTACACAGGCTCAGGGTGCCCTGGCACCATAGCCATGGCCAA